GGGTTAGATCATGTGTGTGTGTGGTTGTGAATGTAGGCAAATCGAGAATTGTGAATTAATCGGGAAGAAAAGTGTGCGCGACTCGACCGCAGTTGATTTATTTCTCCTTCTTACACGGGAACGGCGTAACGCCAATTTAGCGAAACACTTGACTAGCCGACCGGTTCGAATAACGACTGTTAAAAAAGAAAGGTCGTTACCGCTCATTCAATACCACTCTCAGTCGTCGTCTTCGCGACTATTTGTCAATCGCGGGAAACGGCAGTGAAAAGAAATACAATGCAAATCCGATATAAGTCAGGGTCTTAGTGTTCACGTCAGTCGTCATTTCGCGGTACATTTTCCATTTCGCGCGCAATACCGTCGTTGACGATGGCAAGGCCACGGTTAAAACCCTCATTATCATCTTCCAATGTGACGTGTAACGCTGCGGTGTACATATACGTAAGAGAACGCGCATATCTGCGTCCCTGAGGAGAGCCTCGTGTCTGGGGCCCTCCTCCGTTCCGTTTCTCGCGTCCCATCTCTCACCCTCTCTCTCTCTCTCTCTCTCTCTCTCTTCCCCCTCCCTTCCTTTCCTCTCTCGCCGCGCCATTCCTCTCCACTACTCTCCGCACCACTACTCCACACGGTCTGTCTCGCGACGCGGCTGCGGAGCCAGCCAGCTACACGGGGTCTACCAGTTACGCAACAATAACAACGCCGTGAGGAGGTGTGTAGCGTTGTGCGGCGTGCGACACCGCAACGCGACACCGTGGATCGTGTGTGGTGTGCCGACCGCTCGCGTTGTGGGGAATCACTTGTTGACAACAACGCGGGCAAGCGAAGAAACCCACGCGGATCGCAGAAGAAAAACGTTAAAGAAGTGCAAGAGACGAAACGGTAATAGTTCAGCATTATTGCGTGAAAAATCGCGCGTGCGAGTTTCAAGCGCGGCAAAAGCAAGATTTTACCGGAGCACTCGCGATCGAAAATGTGTCGAGAGTGACCCGAAATCCGAGCAACGAGAAAGTTTTGTGCGCACGTTTGGCGCGGGTGTTTGCGGAAATCGAGCGCGATCGAGAGTAATGCGAGAAGGGTGAGCACACAGTGTGCGTGACTGCACAGGATTTTGAGAACGAAACGACACGTGCGATCGAGAAGAAAGGATCGAGTGTGGTTAAGGGAGAAGGAAACTCGTGGCAATTTCGATCGATCGCGATCGACGCATGAACGGAAGCGGGAAAGCGTGACTACAACGTCGCTGTCGCTTAACGAGGGAAGTCCGTGAATTTAACGCGGTCGATTAACGACAAGAAAAAACCGCGGTGTAACGAGAAATTTGCCAAGCGGAGCGGATGTTACATTCAATAAATATACCGGAAGTGCTGACCGGTGCGAAAGATCAATGAGGAGAAATGTCGAACTTCGCTAGATCGAATCAAAACTCGTCTCTTCTGCCGATCGATGAATGGAACGGTAATTACGAGTTACCACGCGGCGAGTACGAGTATCCACGAGACAGCGGTAAGAACGCCAATTGATTGCAGATCATCGTACTGGACCAAGTAACATTAGGACAACGCTTGCGTAAATCGCTACAAAGCAATTTATCGAGGAAAGAAAAGAAGCTACGATCATCGAGAGACGGGTTGTCGTCTTCGAATACGCTCGTATATGTGAGATCTTGCGATAACGAGATCGCAACATCGTGTCGAGCGATAGATCGGCCGGAGAAACCGCTACCGATCTCTCGGGAGGAACGCGAGAGTGCTCAGTCGCCGCTCGTGAGCGACGGCGACGTGTTTAGGCGCCAATGACGTCACCGGACAAGTGAAGCCGCCGGGGGAATTCGCGGTCGGAGTTTCTCGTCGCGCACGCGGTGCGTTTACGTGTCGACACAACGCTCGTTGCCGCGATCGCCGGCGATGGTAGTAGCGGTGGTAGTGGTGATCGCGCGGTAATAGCGAATGTGGTAGTGCGCTGGCTGTGTGTGATTTACTCGTTGCCGTATCGCATTTGCAGTGGGGATAAGGAGACCCCGTGGAATCGCGCTGCGCGGTGGCCGATTACGCTTTTCTACGTATGTCGCCCGTTGGCAAGCAATGACTAACTGCGCGCGGCCGAGTGCGTTAGCGAGAGATACCGCGCTGTCAACGCAGTTGTTCCGGAGCTGCTGTTGCCTTCGTCGTTGTCATTGTTGTTGTGCCGCCGTCGTCATTGCCGTCGTCTACGTCAGCACCGGTCAGACTTGATTTGCATAGCAAACAGATTGACGCGCTCGTAGTAAGTGGATAACGAGAGAAGCGCGCGCTCTCTTCGTGCGTGTACCGTATAGTGCGAGAGTCTCTCGGTCTCTCCCCCGTTCAGTGCGCGCGTGTCTTCGTGTGGGTGAGTGTGTGAATATCGCTCCATGCGTACGACTGGCTCGCATTGCCAGAAGAGAGAGAGAGAGAGAGAGAGGAAAAGATAGAGGATACGACGGACGAGGCAAGTGCGGAGCTTAAAATAGAAGAGTGACTTCGGCTTAAGTACGTGGCGGGAGGACGAGCGAGTAAAGCGAATCGGAGAAGAGAGGGTGGATGTTGTGTTCATTTCTTCCCCACCTCCGCATCATATTTCTGTGATACATTCGAATTCTACGTTTGTCGCGTGTGAAAGAAGGAACAACGAGGTTCGAGAAAAAAGACGACAAGAGTACATATATATATACGCACACATACATATATATATATTACATACATACATACATACATATATATATATATATACACACATCTCGCAGCGAAGAGTGCGTGTTCTGTGATAATCTATATAGTGCATATTGTGTAGTGGTGGACGCAGGAGAGGGTGATTGTGTCTCTCGCGCGACTTTCTGTTTTTCCCGCCCGTATCGCCTGAAAAGAAGAGGGTTCGTCGATCCTCGTAAAGGCAGAGAGATCGCACTGGCGAGTCGAGCACTCGCCCGTCAGAGAGGAGGCGTCGCGTCGCTCTCTGTTCCACGCGATGGATCGTGACTCGCGTTCGTATTCCTGCGGAGGCTGCGAGAGGACCGCCGCCGAGGGCCGAGCTATGCCGATGGAGTAACAAGTGAGCGGCGAAGCGGCGTTGCCATGACGACAGGTGAACCATGAGCCTCCCCGCGATTCTCCGCTTCTCCTCTCACGACCCTCTCACTACCAGCTCTCCCCCTCCCACCTTCATGCCGCGCGGCGTGTTTGTCCCTCTTTTCCTCTGACCCCGTACACTCGCGAGATATGATGCGACAACAATGCTTCTATCTCTTTCTCTGTCCTCTCTCTCTCTCTCTCGCTTTCTCTCTTACTCTCTCGCACATTGTGACCACGCTCTCCGATCTGTCCCTTCTCTCCCGGTTCGCTACTCCGTTCCTCTCTCCTCTCTCTTTCTCCCTCTCGTGGCGTTCGCCACTTCGTTCTCCTTTTTCGGTCGCTCCCTTCCTTCCCTGCGGTCTCATCGCCACGACAGGGACGTGTTTTCGTGATACTCGGAAAACCGAATGCGGTCGTGAAAGAGAAAGAGAGAGATTGGTTTCTTCGCCAACCAGTTTCGTATATTGTGAACGGCGTTACGATCACGTTGTAAAAATTTACGAGAGATGCTACGGTTGTTACGTCGAGTCCACCGTGTCAGCGTTACCTGGTTCCTCTATTCGCTTTGCCCTCTCCTTTTTACGAATTGTATGTATTGCGTGTGAACATCGCGTACGCGATAGTAATTTCGACCTTCAATTGTACACATGTTATAGCCTTTACTAGAAAACATTTTTACTATGTTATACGAGAGAGAGAGAGAGAGAGAAAGAGATAGATATAATGACAGCAATCATTTAACACTATCATCGCTTACTAACGTTTCCTTGAAAACCCAGTCTTGATTAATCTTAGAAGCTTGCGACCACGCTTTATTTTTAACTCGCTAAGCAGATGAGAAATATTTTCAGTCTATAAAAACTCGTTTCTTTTTGTTACGTAAAAATATTTCTCATGAATAGATTGAAAGAGCAACAAAAATCGCTACACGGGCAGTTCTAGGTTCATTATATTTCCTTGCAACTATAAATTCTTTGATAAAGTTTGGTGAAGTTTTATTTAATTTAATTAAAAGTTGATTCTCTCTCTCCGAAACACTCGTTACATTGTCAAGAATCAACACGCACAAATTAAATAATCCATAAATTATAATTAACCGCGGATTCCTCCCGTATCGCTGGTCGACCACCTCTGATCAAACAAGTACATGTGAACTTTGAGAGATAGAAATGACAAAGTTGAAGAGCGAGTAGAGAGAATGCCGAGTACAAAAACAAAGCCACGCGATACAGAAAGATTCGATGGAACAATTTTGGAATGCACATTACAGATAACAAATCTTGTCTATTTTTTTTTTTTCGTTCCTTTATTCGGACTAATCTTGTGGGAATTTCCTGTTAAGATTGTACGCATATAGGTAGAATTCAAAATTAGAAACCAAAATAATGACAAATCATTGTTTATCATAGTCAAAAGTGTAATCTCATTATTTCCAATTTAAAAAGTCCATTATCTAGCTCAAGATAATGAAACAATTTATTTTTTAAGAAATTGTCTAAGTGACTTATGTTTATCTCTAACTTATTTTCATTAATTGTCAGAAAATATCGTAATATTTTTTAACTTTATACATGTAAGATATCAAATATATCATGTCAAAGAAAGTTAGTTTCTAGTATCGAAGCATCGGTGAGCCCTGCTTCGTTCGCGGAATCCTTCGTACTCTCTCGCGCACACGCACGAACGCACGCACGCACGCACGTACGTCCGTCGGTCGGTCGAGCGATGTTGAACGATGACACTGTTTTAGCATGCTTAGCGCGTAGACTACGCGATATTCCAAGTACGCTGGGCTATTTTCATGCTACGCCAAGAAGACATGGAGAGCGAGCGGGCGAGTATAGTGCGCGCGATCGTATGGCGATGGTGACACGACGGCGAAGCGGCAGCGGCAGCCGCTACGCCAAGCCGTATAAAGCGGGAATCGGACAAGCTGCGAGTGGGATTGTCGGAATTTCTCTCGATTTATCGTCTATTCGTGGAAGGGACTCTTGACCGGAGTCGTAAGCCCGATTCAGACTAGCGCGCGGCTCCACTCGCGGATATTTCTACGAAAGAATAGCTCGAATACGTTTACCCTGCATACGAAACTTTATCCTCAAATCATTTGACTTTTGGGCAAAACAACTGATGCAATTTGTATTAATACGCAAACTTTAAGGCTCCTGGCCCCGCAGCCGTGAACTCCGCGTTGACAGTAGCGACATAATTGTGGTAGGAATAAAAACCTAGTCGAATTTACCCAGTCGATTTATCGTATAAATAAATAGTGTAACAGTTTGACCTAATCAATTGATTCGAATAAAAGTAAATTACTGAATAACATACAAAATGTTAATTTATAATTTAAAATTTGTTTACAAAAAATAAACGCGATAAATACAGAATATATATAGCTTAGTACCGTTACCGACATGTCCATATGACAGAAATTCTTATGCAGCGTCTTAGGTGGAGAATCGATGAACTATTAGGCGTGAAAAAATGACATGTTGACTACCCAATTTATTCTTGCGTGCCATTTCATTAATATTCGTTAAATGTTAGTACTGTGATATGTGACGTGTTCATGAAACCTGTAAAATTATCCGAAAACTAAGATTAGCAGGGAAAGCCCAACGTAGAAGGAGAATTTTCTACTCATACAGACAGCTGTCAACCGTGTGTTTTCTCGCATAATTAGGCTTCGTTTCACTGTTGATTTAACAATTGTTTATAACCTGTCAAGGAAAAAGCATAGTTTTCGGACAATTTTACAGGTGTCTTAAAGCGATCCAGAGTGTTACTTTGTTAAATTATCATTTTATTTAGAAATGGCACGCAAGAATTCTCGGCGTGTCATTTCTCGCTTCTGACGTCACGAATCTAATATGGCTGCGGTGACTACCCAGGAGCCTTAAGCGCCATAAATAAATATCTGAGTAGAAAGGCTAATGTTCTTTTATCGAAATAACAATTTTCTTTAATTTGGAGAATACAGAAAAATTTTATCTGTGACTTGAGTAGACGCTATAATGCTTAGCGTTTCTTTGAAACAAATATAAACACGCGATGTACGTGGCGGCTGTTTTGTGTGTAAATAATAGTATACAAAGATGATAGAGTAGAGAAGTCCGTGGACAAGTTAAAGAAACGAAGAATGAAGGAGATTTATATTCTGTAAACATCTCTGTTACGCTTTGAAACATTGAAGGAGTCGCTGTGAAAATATGTTACCTTTTAAAGCAATTTTATTAATATATTCTCTCTGAAATCTTCGTAGTGACTGTAAGACCGTGCGCAATTACATAAGCAATGAAATTAAAATCATCTTTTTAATGAAAAATATTATTAAAAACATAACAAAATTTAACAAAAAAGTTAACTATGCAAAAAATTTTTATATTTTTATATATAATTTTCTTAAATATGCTGTTTATAATCCAGTTTATAATCCATAATCCGAAGAATTATGAATATAATAAAAAAATTGTCGAAATATTAAGTAGATTGCATGAATAGCACCATGATATTAATATCTTTCTTATGGACTCCCTATATAGAACTAGTACGCATTCAAATGTAAAAGGAATTCTTCCGCTTAACGGAATGTCTACTTTATGCACGAATATGGAGACATCAATGATGGATCATTCGTCAGCTGACAGGAATCTCCTCTGATTACTTGAATGGAATTCTCGTTCTTCTTAACTACGCGTAATCTATCACGATATTTAACGCGTTATGCGGAAGAAATCGAACGAGTAGCTACGATTAATATCTTTCGCGGAATCGATTTTCTTAATCAGTCCGATCTATTTGCTTAGTTTTTTTGCAACGTAAGTTATGTGATTTAGTGAATTCTGCGATGCAGTTAACGTGTTTGATGCACAAAGTGAAACGTGTTATATAATAAAGCGATATGTATAAATAATATGTATAAATATTCACGATAAGCGTTGCATAAAAAATTTTGTTCGTCAATATATCATCTTTAACTCTTTCTTCATTTATATTTCTTATTTAAAATTAGAACATACAACTTTACAATCTAAAATATATAAATATACATTTAAATCTATGCAAATACTTGTTAAATAAATCTTAAATTAAGTCGTTCGATCTAGTGTATAATTGAATGTAATAACAGTGATATTACTGATTTTCCGAAAGTAGAATTACGAGATTAAATGGATAATTCGTGTTTCAGCGGCGTGAAATTTTACAGATTAAAATATCTCGCAAAAGGCAATGGTAACGCGAGATACAATGAAATTTACTTTACTCGCTATCTAAATTTACTTTAACTGCCCATGCAACCCCATCGTAAATCTAGCGAACTTCATTACACTCGCTCGGCGATACTATAAACTCGTTATAGTGTTGTAACATACGTACGATCTTGTAGATAAAAAATAAGCTTAAAGATTCAATTTCACAATTTGCAAGGAAATGAAAATTTTAATTAAATAACTGCAATTATGAATATTTTAAATAAATTCATTATATATGAAATCTGTTTGTTAGTATAATTAGTAAGATGAATAATTTTCACAAAAATCTCATCTCTCTATTTCCGCTTAAATATTTTACGTTTTCTTTTTTAGAAAATTATCAAATTTAATGTGTTAGTTAGACAATGCAAAAAATAGAAAATATTTTTTTTACTGTTTAATTCGCAAAAATGGTTTTTCATCTTTCAATCATTATAACGCAATGATATCAAAATATCATTAATAAACAAACATCATGTAATATGATATTAAAACTTACCCGGTAATGAATTTAACATCCCATTGCAATTAGCTCTATCATTGCTCCAGACTTATATGGCACTAATTATCACTTCATACGGCACTCCCGAATTTTACAACCACGAAACATAATGCCAAATAATTAATTATCATCACTTTTCTTTATCGTGTTCTTTGTCGACCGACAATATATTCGCACTACTGCGCGATTATACATTATACATTTTCCAATAAATAAATAAATAACGTGAAACACGACAATCACCTATAATTTTGTTTGACATTTCTGGTGTACCAGAAACTGCGCGAGATATGCGTTAAAAGAATTCAAAAAACAGATATAACAATGTTCGACAAATTACTTTTATGCAGATTAGAGGTTAGATACTGAATGTCATTCGCGAATTAGAGGTTATATTCATTCTGACTGATTTATTCCACATAATTCTATGTTGTTCGATTCGACACATATGAGATATGTTTCAAAGTTCGGAAAACAAACAATTTCGTAACCGATGCTTAATGTTTCAACTAACAATGTCTAACGCGGTACGATAAATATACGAATAATTAAAAATTGGTAATTGCAATCATACTAAACAACACTTCGCTACAATCGTCCATTACTCGATTTAAGGTTATATAGACGTATTCAAGAAGTTCCAAAAACAAAAGCAACTTCGTATCGATGCTTGACGATTCGACGAGCAAACACGACGGACGCGAGAATGTAAAAATGACTAGATAGATAATCGCGACCACACTAAATAACACTCTACGACATTTGTCCGTCGTTGTATTCGATATTCGCGACGTTTATTTGTATACAGAATTTACTTTGCAAGGATGAACGCGTCCGAAACGTAAACAACGTTTACTCACGTCCGACACCATTGCCGTTGCCTTGCGAACTACTTCACGCGGAATAAGTCCCGTGATGCTTCATACGATGATCACGTGATCACGTGATCACATTCGAATTTCCTGTAAATGCATCGCGACTGTTTTGATAAATATCGAGAGACAAATCATACACGTAGATTTACTTGCCACGCTGATTATTTATGTTAGTTCGATGCAGTACTACTAACGCGCTCGAGATATATTTCAAAGAAGTTTGAAAGGTGATGGTAATTTTATACTCGAAGACAATTTCCAATACGACGAGAGCTATTGCACGCACTAATTTTAAAAATTGTACACATGACTCACCGTTCAACACTGTCGAACGCATATTTCTTCGAATTCTTTTCTTTATCTCAATAAGGTTGATCTTGACTCTTGCCTGGAACGAACTTGACACTCTTGCCTGGAACAGTATAATAATATTGTTACTTACATATAAATGTATTACTTTGTAAATAACATATCGAAAACATTATACATTTCTTTTACAATTTAATTTAATTATTACAATTATCTCTATTAATTAATTAATTATTAAAAAGCTTTTTTATGACTGCTCATTAATTTATTAAATTTATTAAAAATTGCCTACTAAGATAAATCTAAATAGTTACATCATTTTTAAATTAGACAAGTATTCTTAATACTTTAATATGCAATGAACGGATAGTGAATATCAAATTGCAGATACAGTTATAATGTAACGTATCGTCTTCCCTCGATCGTGACGCAATTACGGAGATCGGCGATTCTACAAGAATTGAGACTACTACAGTTAAATGTAATTTGTCTTGTTGTTGCTCTTGCTTCAACAAGCATTGCTCGCTCGATTTGTTTTTGCGGGAAAAAACCCGTAAAAACGATGTACAACAGACCTACTTGTGTTAAAATCTCTTGGTAGAATCGTGCTATTTACTTGGCAAACATCAATCTTAATTTTCACAAGCATTTCTGACATATGTTAAATGTCGTTCCGTAGATTCGCATGGTCAATCTTAGACATCTGCAATTTACAAAGACGTGTTGCGGTGATATTTATAACAGAGACGACGAATACGACGAATACGAAGAATTCGCTATTGGATTTATGCCATGCGTCATAGGCATACATGAAAACAGTTAAAGATAACAGCGCACTTGGAAGAATCTAATTAAACGAATCGGAAGATAAATATGGAATCATATCATTTGCACGCTTGAGAAGGTTATCGAATGACTCAATCGTCAAATCAATCAATCAATCTAGGACATTGCAAACACATTTGTTTCGCGCCATTCTCTTGTCGAAATATCTGCCTTTTACTCGAAGTTATAAAAATCAAGATAGTACATACAAGTCAAATGATGTAATGATAAAGAATGAAGTGAATTAAATCTTGCCCGCTGATTTATTTTCACTCGTTTAAAAGAAATACGTGAGCCGTTTAACTACACACATTTCATAGAGAAAATAATTTTACATTTTATAAAATTTTTTTTAACACAAAAATTATACTTAGAGCAAAATTAAAATAAAGTAAGGACTGGAATAAAGGAAATTGCAAAGATAGTGGAGAGAGAGAGAAACCTTCGTTCGATTCAATCTCGGAGAGTCTCTTTTCTTTGAAAAGCACCGGTAGAGAAAGAGGAGGGGGGGGGGAATTCCGTGAATACGCGGCCGTGAACGTCCTAGGGCACGTAGACGCACGACGGGGTGCGTGACCCAATCACCCGTTCACCGACAGCATGCGCGCGAGCGGAGCAGCGTGGATTCGTGTCGAGTCTCCGTCGCGTGGTGGGAGACTGTCGCACGGAGTATCGGGCGGAATCCCCAAGCACGCGAGAACACAACCGAGACCGTCTGCTCGCTTGTGTGCGTCAGTGGTGGCCGCGCGAAGGCCGACGTTAGGGGAGAGGCGCTCTGTCAGACGCAAGCAGGCAGCTGGTGGATGCGGGAGCGGAGAGGAAAGGAACGCCGCTTCTTCGTCAGCGCGCGCGGCGACGGCGGCCGTCCGGGTCGCGCGCGTGACTCATTTGCGCTTTGCGGGAATCTCCTGCTTCCTCGCCGATGGCAGCACCGTACGACCTCGCAGCGGCTGTCCGCGTGCACGCGGCGAGTACAGTCCGTGGAGAGGCAGACGGTGGCGGCCAGCGTACGATCGGAGAGTTCATCCGGTGCAGCGGCGTTCGCTCAGCCGCCGCACAAACCCGCTATGCGATATATCAGTGTTTCCCAACTTCGTTTTTGCTGCGACACATTTCTGATGTAATCCAATTCCAAGAATGACATAATATGTAATATGTTGCAATATGCAGAATAACATAAAATATGATAAAAGGAATCGTTAATTTCTTGATTCGGATACTTGACAGAGCAAATAAGCTTTAATTAATTAGAAACAGAAATGCTTTAATTAAAAACTTATCGCTGTGAATCATACAGATAAATATTTGGTTGTACAACATCATCGCGTCACGTATTTATTTATTTTTACATAAAAAATTTCAACAAGAGATTAAAATTGATTCAAATATTTTATATATCGCTAATTTGATTCAGTGTAAAATATTGCGCTAAGCGAACGTTAATTGGGCGGGTGCGTTCATGCATTTGATAGACAGACAATTTGACGATACATTCAGAATAAATAAATATACTATCCGCGTACATTAAAATACTATTAGTAAACAGTTAAAATTAATTGTGTTTTATCAAATAAATACAACAAAACAACATTGCCTACGCTACGAAAAGCGCTCTGCCATTATCGATTTCAGTATCAAATTAAACTTCACGAGAGTTTAAGCAGAATTAATAAACAAGCGGAGAACTGGCTCGGGTTCTGCCTCAGAATCAACAAAATACTTGGAGATTTCGCGCGCTTTTCTTACACATTGAATGACTGCTATCGAACTCGTCGTATTAAATATTTCAAAATCCATGGTCTCGCTAAAATTATCCAGCTGCTCGACGCGAAGGAGATACTCGAGAGATCGGCGATCTCACCGGCGAAAGTCGCAAAACCGCCAAGCCGGTTTCCGCAATCGTGTTCGATAATGCTTGACGCCACTGATTCACGTACGACGGAATGCTGAGCATTCGCTGAGTTGGTATACAGGTGCAGGAGTGCCCGACGTTGTTGTATAATAATAACACACGAGAATGGCGCAACGCTATTCAACGCCTGGTTTCCCGCTTATCAATTAAGTCAGATAAGAGGGAACTGCGCGGACTTCTTATGTTTCGTGCAGCAATTAATCAAGATTACTCGTCTCGTGTTTTTCCGCTTAACTACGCATTACGCACGATTGATAGTCACGTGTTACACATAAGTGATATTACACATAACTGTGATGATTTAAATTCGATGCTGATGAAAAATTAATAATAAAATTGGAACAATATAAGTAGGCACTCATATATTATTAAAAACCAATACAAAATTCCATTTCAATTAAAAAATTCAACTTAATAGCTTTATATGAAAATATAACATTTTCCGTTTATTATTACAAATCAATAAACGAATTTAAATGTCGAAAATATTAATTTAGCAATTGAAATTGTTAAAACTCACTGACAATATATATATTTTATGAAATTATCGCAACACGTTTTAAAGGGGGGAAAGAAAATTGAAATTTCAAACAATAGAAATGATGTTATCGAGACTCAGACTCATTGTCAGTAAATAAGTGTGAAAATTGAGGCATGACGGGATTAAGTCGCGGTCAGTTGAACGAGCGTTTAACGCGTCTGACGCGTCCGGCATAAAACGATTAACGAATTGTCAGGTCTATATAGCGTACGGTGGCATGATGTACATTATACGATGTACGATGGCAGACTGAACGAACTATTCATAGGTTGCAATTGGTCGTTTGTACGAGTTTACGCTTCGTCTCTTTACGCTCGTACTCTCACCCAGGTTTAAGCCGAAAACATACTAATATCTGTAACTTGTCTAGATACATAATTTCAAAGCTACTTATTTATTGTGACTTTTTTATAATTTATTGGAAAAAAAAATATTTATATTTGCCTGTCAGTCCTAATTAAGTTTTATGTGACCTTTTCAACAGCAGCTTTTGAAAGAAATCATTTTACTTTGCTTTTTTACAAATGGATACATGAAGTTTATGAAGTTGTATTTTGTATGATTCATCAGACATACTTATTCATCGTGAACCGTATAAATTTGCCTTATATTTGCATTTTACTTTTGACCAAACATGGCGAGATGTAGTTATCTTCGCGCGCATACGCCTGAGTGATGCATCGGTTGAGAAGGGGACTGAGGTCAGGGAGCGAGCTATCCAGATAGAGGGCAAACAATAATAACACCAATACATCAATAAAATACCCCAGAGGCTCGATCAGTTTGTAGGCTGACTCTACATCGAGATTTTATTCCACCGGCAAACCGGTAAAAACGACGACGTGGGCGAAATCGCTAAACTCGGCGGTCGAGAGCCCGAAAATAAAACTTTATGCCACAACTAACTTTATGTGCACAATGGCACGCCAAAATCTTATATCTTTTCCGACGCGGTAGTCAATCTAAAATAAAACGATGGAGGCAATTTTATTTTAGATTGATTCTTATTTCGAAAAAGTTTATTTTCGAAACTTTATCGACGTATATTAACGATTTTGCGCATTTGCGAGATGTGCGATGTTTCGTGTAATAAAATTGAAATATGAATTTATTAAAGAAGAATAAAACGAAAACGTTTTCTGCATAAAACCGTGTTCCAAAATTATTCCACAATAGTCGTAAATTAACAGTAATTCTGGATGAAAAATGTCATGTGAATCCAAGATAAGATCACACTGATATTTATTCTTTTGCATTAAAGTAAATCGAAATTTAACTACTTTATTTGCTAGGATTTTAAAAACCGTCACACATGAATGACATTTTTAATTTTTATCCCATTAGAACGTAGAAGTTTCATCTTACTTTTCATACATTATTTTTTCGCAATTAAATATTGCCAGAAACTACTTGATTTTTCATGAAATTAAACGTGTCGATGTAATAATCGTTATTAGAGCGCGTTATTCGCAGAAAAGTAACTGCGACGTATTTTAAACTACCGAATATACCGTGTGATATACTCCGAAATCTGTGTCCACGTTTGCTCGAAATGCACACAAAACGCATCATGACCCATTTTCGTCGCTTTGCGGATTTTACGAGTGCATACGAACTTACCGTATTTATTGCGCGGCCATACGTTTACGAAGTATATACGCTGCAGGATGACTCTCTCGCGAATACGTATGTATAATGTACGAATAACTTCGATAACAAGCTACAATTTCAGACAAATATTTGAGAGGTCATTAATTGAATAATCCGAAAATTAAGCCTTATATCGTCGATCAATCTTCATTACTTCTCTTTGTCGAATTCCACTGTTACTAATCTTCATTCATGATTATAAATAGAAAACGTGAAAAAATTATATATCTCTTGAAATTGACACAACTAAGAGTAAAATTGTTATCATGTGCGTAACTTGGAAAAATTCTCCAACTTTTAATCTCCTGCAAGTTGTAAATTATAATGCAATCATGTGAGAAATGAGTGAAAATCTATTATTTGAATATTGATGTGTGTGGTACACATGTCATTATATGTACTATCACAGAGGCACCCATTGTATCTATCCATATAATCAAATAATAGTTTCGTGTACGCACTATTATAACGTACAGACAGCTTATGTAAATTCGCGATTGCGCAAAAGAGCTACGATTGATGTCGATGACTCAGTTTCCTCGTGCATGAACTTTTGGATCGGTCTGTAATATATAAAACATCCTGCGATAATACGGCGTAGATACCGCGTCACAAATATAGCTCGTGGAGCATAGGACTGAGCAAATAAAAATGGAAACGACGAAGAGCGTGGCATTGTCGTTTCATTCATTTCTGCCGGATTCGCCGCCGCCGCCGCCGCCGCCGCCGGCTGTGGAGTGCCTAATGAAGTTCGCGTATCTCGCGTGTGTTTGCGTCACGCATATCCTCCCACAGCGTGTCCGCTTATAAAGGAGCTTTGTCAGCCGCGGATCGACCTATTGTATTCGCGCGCGCCATAAACCTCACACAGCTGCAGCTGTAATTAACGCGATTCAGCCTGACCGCTCTTACCGAACGATCGAATAATGAGCGATTTTTATTGGATAATGTCTTCTTCGATGGGATCTAACGCGAAGATATATTAAATCAACGTTGATTTAGAATTGCTGAAATTTGAAAAAAAAAAACACAAAGCTCGATATTGCAAACAGCATTTCAACATTTTCGCAATGCCAAACGAACTTTTTCCCTTCTTGAAGAAAACGCGGTTGAAAACTTGAAGAAGTAAAAATCCGCTTACACGATGTAATTTGCTACGTCGCACAAACTGCATCGCACGGTGCATTAGGCGCCTCTACGAGAGTGAAAAGTTTCACAGTGCTTTCCCGGTGTTCCTTCTCCGATGAAGGAGACCACCGCTGCCAAATGGACCGTCGACGTAAGTCTCGTTTGGACACGGCGATGACTCTCCGGCGAGGAATACCTTCGTCGGCGAACCAGATTGGCTCGCGTTCTGCCAACTTCTCTCACTTCTTTTTTTGTCTTTCTCTACTTTACTCACTCACTCAAAAACACACACACACACACACACACACACTCTCTCTCTCTCTCTCTCTCTCTCTCTCTCTCTCTCTCTCTATTTGCGCGTATAAATAGCACGATCCAAAATTACCGGGGGCACTTCAGCGAACGGTGCCGCGAAAGTGGCGTCCAAGAAAAGGCCAGCGATTTCTGCTAGCTATAAAAATATACACGGGAACAACGTGGACGCCCGGTCGGCGACGAGCGTTCTTCGTCGAAGAACAGCGACTGGGCGAAGGGCAGAGAATATAGAATTATTCATAGACCTTAAATCTTTGCGACTTGAATAATTTCAACAGCGATCAGCGGATATGCAAAATCACCAGCGATTATGCAAAACAATTTAAATCCGCTTTTTATGGAAAATAAATTAAGAATTAAGAGCAGAGTTATAAGATGTGATTTTTCTAAATTCCTCTAAAGTATTAGAAGTCAGCGAAGTGTGTTAATACCCTTTTGAAGATATTCATTTGCCATGAATTTGATTTCAACTGTTTTACAGGAATATTGAATATTTTACGTTTATTTTAACATTAGCAGTCAACATGAATTATTATTATTTCTCATAAAGTAAAGCTTGCTTTTCTGAAGAACGTTGCAAAACGCGAAATAAAAGTTTTAACACCTTGTCATCGACAATTATATTTTCGAGGACAATAACAATCGAATTTTTGCGGATTGCAAATTGCAAATGTTCATAACTCGACGATGAACTTAATCAAAAATTTAAATCACGTACGAACTGCTCTGAATAATTTATGCGCTGTATAATGACGTATGTTGTAGCGAATTTTTAGAAATGCAAAAAGTGTAGCATGATAATGAGAGAATTTGCAAAAGGGGGAAAAAAGATATTAGTTTGTTAGAACAATATTTAACGTCTTGAAACTTAAAGACGTACAATAAGCTAAATAATTTTTGTAATTCTATTTAATTACGTAACATTAAATCTTTTTTTAAACGAATATGAAGCATATTAATTTCAAGACATTTTTATATAACTGCGGTGCATGTTGATAACATCAACTTGATGGCTGCATTAAATATGAATTGTAATGAAGGAGTTAGGCGTCAGCTGCATCCAACGTTTCGACGACGCGGTTGGTAATTACGCAATTAATCGACGTATATAGGTCGACGGTGCCGAGAATGAGAGGCTACAATTCTAAATATCTCAAGCTAAATAATTCATTGACGTTCAATCGCGGTGGTCGGTTGAACACAAAAAACTTCAATCGCTTCTAAACCAAAATGTAGAAAAATGTCGCTCGTGCGTAAACGAGAAACTGAACTGTTGAACTCATCTTCCACTTCCGCTTTCGTAACGTCGCATTGTCGCATAATTCCACGAGGACGACTATCGCGCCTTGAATATTGAACACGTGGATAATTGCGTTTGAACCGATCTTCGCTTTAATCCACACCAGACGCAATTAAAATAATCTTTTAACTTTATTAGCATTACCTTTTAACGCATTAATAATTTTAATTAACTAATTAATTTTTTTGCAGAAAAAAATATCATATAATAATGCTTCAAAATGACATTTACAGATCATGTCTCTGTAATGAATGTTAACATTATATTCTATGATATAAATATGCTAAGCGCTAAGAGCATCAAATTAATATCTGAAAAGATACTTTCTAAAATAACACATTTAAAAGCGTACCTTAAATTCAAAACCTCGTAAAAATCCAAATTTTACAGGAGATATTAAAAACTGTTTATTAGATTAATTTCGATTAATTTGTCTTTGTTAAGTTGTTAATAAATTTTTGAGATTATTTTTAAAAAATTTGATACATAAAAAAATAAAAATACTATCATAATAATAGAAAGGTGAAATTGATGAAAAATTCGAAATACGAGGTTTTGGATTTAAGATATCGATATGTCATTAAAATGGAATCTGGTAATACATCGCAAGTTTTCTAATTAAATTATTTGCGGAGTTTTTATGTGGTTACTTTTCCCCGTATGTATTAGCTATCACGCCCGTTTTAGCTATAGCTCGACTATTCTTCGCTGCGAAAAAATATCTATTGACAGATTATTATTAGCGGTTATTCATGGCCAATCATTTCCCCGAACGCGAAAGTGTACGATGGATCTGCCATCTACTTTCCTCGTAAATAATATACGTATTTGTTGCATTTTTATTTCTCAAAATACGATTTCATTAAAAATGTTATATTTTAATCTCGATGTACGGCAAAATTAATTAATTAATGTAAGCATATGCGTGTTGTCATGTAAGGAACGATAGATAGAATATATAGAGATAGGTAGATATAATATATACAATTCTACGCAAGGTAGTAATGATATTCTGCGTAATAGTCCGAGAAAACATCGTGATTGCACTTCTTAATGAAACGATAATCCTAACATAATGTTGCGTATGACGACTTACTCATTGCAACTTGATGCAATTATTTGTAACAAATCAATTCATTTTGCGTGTCATATAATCGTCGTGTGCTACGTAATCGATGGCGTAATGTAACGCATACCAATCGATGTTTTCTTATCCCACGTATGACAACAGAAATGCATTAACGTCTATGTATGTATGGAAACATTATAAAGCAATTGGCATGGTACACCTAGAATTTTCCAGTCTTTACAGTACTTTACCGGTGTGCGGCCTCGAGTACTTTCCTTATGTACAATCGTCGCTGCATGTGACGACGACGGAGTATGTATTACTTGAGCGAACCTGTCGTCATCGTAAATTCGACGTGTCATTAGCGCCTTACGTAAAGTTACTTCTCACATGATAAAAAATCGATCCGTTACTTCGGAGCTTTTTACGTATTTATTATCCGCGTGAACAGTCGAACTGCAGCGCGACTGATGCAGTAGAGCTAATCGGCGATTAATATTGGATTAATCGGCGCCGCGCGCGTCTGCTTCGCGGAATAGTTTCGCCGATTCGCGCGGAGTATCGAGAATCCTTCGTGAATCACCTCCCCTCCGTCGTCGTGCACGTCGTTCGTTGTCACGTCTGAGTCACCTGAATCACCCACCACCCGATCGTCGCGCATGATCTCGCCTTCTCTCCTGCACCTCGCTTCTTGTTTTCCCGACTCCGGCAGTGATTAAATGTGCCTGGTGCCGTACTGTTCGCAGAGACCCACACTGTGGCGATGACAGACCCACAACTGACCAACAACAATAATAACAATAACAATAACAACAACGATGGCGAGCCAAAATATCTGCACAAGAAATTCAAGAAGATGGCGACGACTGAGGTCGCGCCGAAGGTCGTCGAGCCCAGAAAAGAGGCCACGGCGAACAACGTCGTCCCTGCCGAGACGCCCAAGCGGAAGGACGCGAATAAGGACGGCAAGGAGTCGTCGAAGGAACCTGGAAATAAGCTCGAGGCTTCTACTGAGTCCGAGGGGCCCGAGCCCACCACCGAGTCCCGGAAGAGCGGTTACCTGTGCCCTTACTGCCAGATGGCATGCGCCAAACCGAGTGTTCTGCAGAAGCATATCAGGGCGCACACGAACGAGCGACCGTATCCGTGTGTGCCCTGCGGGTTTGCTTTCAAGACCAAGTCGAATTTGTACAAACACTGCAGGTCGCGTTCTCACGCACACAAGACGGAGAGAGGTGACAAGGTAATTTATGAATTTATTTTAAATAATTACTGAAAATAGAAGTTAATATCAACGGAATGATTAAAAGAATATATTTTTCTTTGCCTCAATGACCATTTGACTTGGTAAAATTTTAATAATTTAACTAACTTTAGTATGATAAATGAATAATTTATAGTTAATAATTATTAAGAACATAAATTTTTATTTTTATCGTAGCACTTGCAATTTTCATTTTATTTTTATTCAATTTTGGGTTAATGTAAAATATTCTAAATATAATAAATTTAGTTTAAGTAATTGTGTCAAGATCCATCAACTCTTGCGCAAATTAATATCAAAACTTTGTATGATATAACTCATATAAAATCTATACTTCTCGTACAATATTTAGTGTAATCTTGTAAGATTTTCTGTGCTGATTATTCTTGCATGTCATTTGTTTATTATGTCTTGTGGTTTTCTGTTAATTTTAAAGTGAGTAAAGAAAAGTTACACAATTAAAATAATTTTTGCGTTACTTCTGAAAGAAGAATCTGACAATAGCAACAAATCTGCGAAGTTGAAAATGAAGAAGCTGTCAAATTCACGGCGGCATGTTTCAAGCGTTTTAATAAAGACGATAGAGACAAGGTTCGGAGACAAACTTTATTCCGCAAGATCATCAACCATTAATAATGAAATCAAATGACATAGAAATAATCAGCAGAAAAAATAAAATAAATGAAAATATTATACTAAAATATAAATTTTACATGAGAGTTACATCTGTATAAAATTTTATACATCGATTTGTTTTTGGAATTTAAAAATCACTACTGTTTCCACGTCGGACATCTGATCAGCGATAATTTATAAATTTTTTTTCGCAGATGTCTGAGGATTCCGACATAAGTCTGTCGGACAGTGCTAGTAACGGCACCGGGACGCCACCGCCGCCTCCCGCTTCGACGCCTACGGCGACAACAACGACAGTATCCACCGTCGCTCTGAAAACCGTGAAGACCGGCAAGATTTATAAGCCAAAATTCCAAGCGCGAACCGCTCTACAATGCGTGAACAGCGATACCGAAACGTCTTCCTTATCGCCCAGTTCTTCCAGCAGCTCTTCCTCCTCCTCCACGACGACTTCCGCAGCTAATTCTGTCAAACCTAACGCGGAGCAGTTGCAAGAACACATCGACAAAATTATTACGGACAATCAAGCAATTGTTGACGCAGTCGATCCACGTCTGCACAAGTTGATGCAACGCCAGCAAAGCTTGGTCGAGACAAAGCAGTCATTCGAGCAACAGCCTTTGAACCTGTCTTCCGCGGAAGAATCCGCGAATAACAGAAAACGTTGTTACAGTGACAGCTGCACTCAAGAGGCGAAGGAAGGCGCGCAAAGCTCTGAAAGTGGCTCGATTATCAAGGATCTGCTTCTGAAAACTCGCGATACCGCGAAAGGATCACTACCCGAGACTGCCGAGAACTTCGTCTGCCCGACTTGCAATATTTCCTTCACCAGCATAGACAACTTAGAGGCTCACCGTAGATATTACTGCAAAGGCATCGACAGTCCTCGGAGAGGAGCGGATTATCAAATAGAGTTGGAGAAGCGAGATTCCGAATTCGACTCGAAGCCTGCTGACTATTACGGCACTTTGCAGCCACTAACGTCGCCGGGACCTCTGCTGGGTAACACTAGACTGGTCGACGCGTACGCACCACCCGCGAAGAAGCAGAGAACGGAATCCGTGCCGACCAACTTGAGGTCACTGGAAGAGCTGAGCAAGTATCCGCGTCCAAACTCACTGCAGATGTTTGGCGGCGAAGTGAGGATTCTCGACAATACGGGCGAGACGAAGACGATGAGAATCGAACCGCGACAGACTAACTCGCCTACCAATGAGAACATAGTCAACAGTAAGTGCGTGACTTCGGAGACGGCGTCGATCGTAGTGAGATCCGGGCTTCACTCGGGTGGTACAATGGTGCATAAACCGCCGGGCACGCCAGCCAGCACGCCCAGTTCCTCCATATCTTTGCCTAACACGCCGAAGATACTGGCACCCATCATACCGAACATATCAACCCCCAATATAGCGCCCACTATGTCCTGCTACAACTATCTAGAGCAACACCTCAACCCGCTGACGAGTATCACTGCCTACAACCCGTTGACTCTGCCGCAGGCCGGTGTCACAAGCATCCTCCACGGCGGCAAAGTGATACCTTACGTGCCCGGTATGCCCGGACCGCACACCCTGACCGGCACGCCGACCATAGACATATCGCCGAGTATAACGGCCGGCGAGGCCAGTTACAAAGTGATACCGGGTCTACCGGGTCTGCACATGATATCTCAACCGTTGGATCTGGCCAGTCCAGTAAAGGCGCAGCCCAGCACAGTGCCCGGCATACCCAGCCCGTTGTCTGGACACGCTTCTATGCTGGACCAACCTCTGGACCTGGCTAGTCCGGCGAAAGAGTCGACGAAAATCAGCTTTAAGACTCCCAGCAGCGACGGTCTAAGGAGCGGCATGACCAGTCCTAAAGTTCCTAGCGTTAAAATCGAAACCTCGACAGACAAGTATCGCGCGAGAATGTCGTCGACGCCCACCGGCGGGGAGAACAATAAAGCAGAGTTCGATCCCTCTTTCAAGAATAAGGTTGCGGTCGTGAGGTACAAGAATATGGAGAGCCCTCGGGAGAAAAGAGAATTTACGTACGACAAGAGTCCGAAACTGGACAAGGCTTTTAGTTACCCGAACGGCGTGGACTCCGCGATTTGCTCGATTTCTTACAGCAAATTAAAGTACTCGCCCAAAACGACTTCGGAGAGCAGGAAGAGGCAGTCAAATTGGGGTGTCAGCGAGGTGGATGCTGGCAGAACAGCACCGATAGACACGCACGTCGCGAGCACTAAATACGATCTGCCTCCTCACGAGAACGGCCGATTGAAGATTAGTACCTCCTCGGATGTGCGTGCATGGACAAAGGTCACGGACGGATACGGCGCGTTCAACGGAGCCAAGCCGAAAGCCGACAACGCGCCGTCGGTGATACTTGTCAATCTAGATTCTTCCAAGACAGAAGTGCCAACGAAAACTTTCGTAGAATTAGTTGTTAAAGACAAACAGCCCGAGGCCAAATCGCCGAAGAGCAGCGGCAGTGAAACGACCGTCAAGGAAACGACCAACAAATTTTTGAGACCTACATCCTTGCCGCTGAAACCCGGCACGTTCACGCCGAAGAAGCATCACGGGATCACGCCTACGGCGAACACACTCCCTCTCATCAGCCCAGAAACTCCACGACCGAAGAAGTCGTACGGACAATTGTATTTAAACGGACATGCCTACACATATCTGGGACTCAAGTGTTCCACCAGGGTGTTCTATTGCACCCTGAATCGACCGCAGCCAATGTACGTCACGCAGCAACACGGTCTGTCGATGTATTCCAACTGGAAGATATGCAAGGAAGCGCCGCCAGACGTGGATATGGCGCACTACGACTCTCGACACATACCTCTCAATTACACCACCGCGTGGAAGAAGCAAGAAGATATTCTAACACACTCCTCGCAAAGACCAACCACTCCCAGCAGTCCGGACAGCGGATTGGAGAGTGACATACAGGAGAAAGCGAAGAGGGTGAAGATATTCGACGGGGGTTTTGAAAGCAACGAGGATTATACCTATGTGCGCGGCAGAGGTGAGAATAATTTATTTACCTTGTTTTAAATCAAAGAAAATAAAATTATATTTACATTCACCATTCTTTAACAATATCTTTATCTAACATAAACCTATCTTTCCAAAAACTTTTTATTTCTATAATTCATTATTTTAAATTAAATACGGCATAAAAAACGGAACACAAGAGCTACGAAGAATTTTGAGAGCTTTATATAATATAAATTAATGAAAACAAGCTACAGAGCCCAAGCTGGATTTACGTGCTTAGTTTATTTGCATATTATAACAACCATTGTTTAGGTCAATTATAACAAATTATAAGGATCTAAACGTTTCGACCATTTGGTTGTGGTCATCTTCAGTAGTTAGTTCTTACATTAATTATAAAATTCGGAGCATATTACAATAAATCTTCTTACTTTTAAAACTAAAATTCGGAATATATTACAATAATCTTCTTACATTCGTTACTTTTAAAATTGTTTAGATGGAAAACATCTCTTGAAAGCCATGCCCCTTCTAATAAACAGCAATCCTTAAATTATCAGGAAGGAAACGATGTCGTGTTTTACATTATTAACATACGCGATGTACTTTTAAGACTTGAGACATTGTGGTTGATTGCAATTATTCTAAAAAACAGTATGAACTAATGTCTACTTTTATCTTTATATTGTTTTTTAGAATAATTGCAATAAACCACAATGTCTCGAGTCTTAAAAGTACATCGCGTATATTAATAATGTAAAACACGACATCGTTTTCTTCCTAATAATTTAAGGATTGCTGTTTATTAGAAGGGGCATGACTTTCAAGAGATGTTTTCCATCTAAACAATTTTAAAAGTAACGAATGTAAGAAGATTATTGTAATATATTCCGAATTTTAGTTTTAAAAGTAACAAATGTAAGAAGATTTATTGTGTGTAATATGCTCCGAATTTTATAATTAATGTAAGAACTAACTACTGAAGATGACCACAACCAAATGGTCGAAACGTTTAGATCCTTATAATTTGTTATAATTGACCTAAACAATGGTTGTTATAATATGCAAATAAACTAAGCACGTAAAGCAGCTTAGGCTCTGTAGCTTGTTTTCATTAATTTATTTGAATAATTTGAGCCAAAATTGTAATTTTTAAGTTATTTTATATAATATCTTATTTATCATTATTTTAATTATCTCGTATGTTATGCAAGGTCGAGGACGCTACGTCTGCGAGGAATGTGGTATTCGTTGCAAAAAACCATCTATGCTGAAGAAACATATCAGAACTCATACCGATGTTAGGCCGTACACTTGCAAGCACTGTGCTTTTAGGTAAGTTTTATAGCAAGAAACCATATAAATTTTATTAGCCTTCCTAGTTTAACACGCAGTATTGTTTGCGCGACAGTTTCAAAACAAAGGGCAATCTCACGAAGCACATGAAATCCAAAGCTCACTACAAGAAGTGCGTGGAACTAGGTGTGGTACCGATTCCTACGTCGGTTTGCGACGAGAATATCGATAAAGAGGCGATTGCGCGGCTGGCTGCCGGTGGAGGTAACGCGGAGGAATCCTCGGAGGAGGAAGAGGAGACCGACGGTGAGGAAAGCGAAGAATCTGGTAGTGAGGAACAAGAAGCGGCGCAAAGTCTGCTCAGTCTTTCGCAACGTAACACAATGAACAGATTGCCGGGCTTACTGCCATCGAACAGACCGACGACGTATCCGTATGCCCTCACCTTACCGACGACCTCCACAGTGAACGTCGTATCTACTGTGACAAGTACGACGGCTATCAGCAGTCAAAGTATCACCACGCAAGGTACAGCTCTTATCCAGAACGATTTATCGCATCGTTATTACTTTCCGTCGACCCGAAGTATAGCAGAGGAGTCAAGGATGAGCGTCATTCAGTCGTCAAAGAAAGACGAGTCTGACTTCGAGATCGAGGAGATCACTGATGTCGCAGAGTCACGTCATCAACCATCTCAACCTATAGATCTCACGACGAAACAGAACTGTGCTCAACTGCTGTCCTCGCCGATTCCGCAGAGAGTCAGACCCGTGGATATTCTAACTCCCGTTTCCGAACCGGTCTTGCTGCAGACGATAGTCCAGACGATGGAGCGACTGCCTAGACAAGGTAGAGAATGGAAACCGGACGCGGAGGGCCAGATGCTGCAGGCGTATCTCACGGAGAGATACGTGATGGACAGTAAAATTAAACAACAGTATCGGGTGGGAAACACCAAGCTGGACAACAAACAAGTGCAAGAAAGAGATATTTATCCGCGTCATCAGGAGTCTAGCAGACCCAGATATATAGATTCTAACAGTATTCCGACAGTGACGTATACTGATCCAAGTAAGATGCAGCACACTGTTATGGAATCTAGAGTTAAGTACATGACGAAGCACACTAGTGACGACATCAAGATGGAAATCAGAGAAAAGATTTATCAGAATAACATGGCGATGGAGAGACGAACATTTGACTACGAAATCCACAAGGATAAAGAACACTCTAGTCGTCCGGTTTCTGAGCGTGAAAATTTTGAGCTTGGTTTGACTAACGGTTCCGATGGCACAAGACCAAGTATCGAGTACGGTCTATCTGTTACCAAGAACAATAACTCGATGGAAAGATCGATTTATTCTATTGATGCGCCTGTTCGTAGCACGCCCAATATCGATTGCCACTCGCCAAAATCTTTGAATATAGAAGCAAACAATCGGCCGTCGTTGATGCAGCACGTAAACAACGACATCGATAGGAGTTCCATGTTCAACACGATGAAGATGATGAACGAAATCGAAAGATCTAGAGACTGTCATTCTGTCGGTCAAGAAATGAGATCTGCGAATCACGAGATGAGAACCGCAACTAGCGACGTTCGAATGCAGAATCAGAGTCCGCGAAATCTCGATCTGAGACCGCCAAGCAGAACGCCTGGTCAAGAATACAGAACGCAGAATCAAGAGCTGAGGCTGCCGAGTCAACAACAGGAATACAAGATACGCGGCCAAGAAATGAGACCGCCTAGCCGCGAGTACAAGCCACCGTTCGCTCACGATATGCAAGTCATCCAGGAGCTGATGCCGTCGACAAACATGGAAATGCGACAAACAAATTCAGATAATAGACCACCGAGCAGTGACATGAGACCTCTCGCGGAATATAGAACACAGCCTCCAGATCCTCGCGCCAACTACGAGATAATGCAGTCAGCCATGATGCACGAGTCGACTAAATTACGAAATGTTGACGCGAGAAATACATTAACGCAAGATGTACGACATATATATTACGACGCAAAACACACGGAGGCGGCTAAACAGAACACATCAGACAGCATGAAACACACGGTAGCCAGGATTGATGGAAGAAATACGTTGGCGCAAGAAATACGAATTGTGTACTACGACGCAAAACGCACAGAGACGGCTAAACAAGACATGCCGGATAATATGAAACACGCGGTAGCCAGGAACATGGTCGTCGGTGGACCAGATTTTCGATTGTCACCGAATACAGGGAACTCGAAACCGCAAGCAGAATTTTTACAACCATCCAATGGGCCGATGCCTAACTATGTCAGGTGAGTAAAATACTCTTAATTATAACACTTTGTCAGAACTAATGATATATATGTGAGGTGATAATAATACTACGTTCGATATGTATTTTTAAAATAGATTAAACGCGGATAAAGTAAAAAAATAGAGCAAAAATTAAAAACATTTTTAAAAAAATATAAAATTATGTTATATAATTGTATTTAAAATTTAAAATTATATGTAATTTTATTGATTAATAACAAAAATATAGGAGTAAAAGGGCCCCAATTACGCGTGATCTGAACTTTTATATATATATTTTAAATACGACAGATTGTAAAAACACTGAGAATGATTTAATATAGAAACATTTGTCATATTGTATATGTTCATTGTTTGTAATATAACAGTTTGAATGTACAATAAATAACAATGTACAATAAAAAAATTAATGTACAATATGTATATATAATAACGAAACGTTTCAAACACCGTGAAGACGTCGGATGCCGATGCTTCCCGATCATGTTATGTGCCAACCGAAGCCATTAATCTTATATTGGCTCTTTTCTCCTTATATTGTTGTTATTAATTGTAAAAATCACACAGCCTTACTAAGTGCTTTTTATTTATTAAACTTATGGAACGTGTGTGGTATAATTACAGTGTGACGGAAGACGGTAGAAGTGTATGTGACGTTTGTAACAAGGTGTTCAGCAAGCCTAGTCAGTTACGGTTGCATATCAACATTCATTATTTTGAGCGGCCGTATAGATGCGAAAGTTGCGCAGTTTCCTTCCGGAGTAAAGGTCACTTAACTAAGCACGAAAGATCCGTTACCCATCAGAATAAGGTAAATAAGGAATCAATGTTATTTCAACAATTAATATTATACTCTTAACACACGAGTGTATGTAATAAATATTGTACCACAGGTCAGTATGACTTCCACGTTTGGCGCGGCGACTACCAGCAATCCCAGACCTTTCAAGTGTACAGATTGTAAGATAGCGTTTAGAATACACGGACATTTAGCCAAGCATCTTCGCAGTAAAATGCACATTATGAAACTGGAGTGCGTGGGCAAGCTACCGTTTGGAACTTACGCGGAAATGGAAAGATCTGGTGTGAACTTGAATGACATCGACACCACCGATTGCGATAATAGTCTTAACAGTCTGCAGGTTCGTATCACAGTTCTAATTGCGTGCATTTTATAAATTCAATAAAGGAAATGTCGCACAAAACAATATATTCTTGTACAGATATTGGCTCAAAGATTATACGAAAAGGATCCCACTAAGATCACGCAATGGGACTCGGAAACTATGCCTGGACCGGCTGTAAGCGGTAGCGAGACTTCGTCGGATGAAGGTGAACCTATACCGCAGCACGCGCTTCACACACAGTACGTGAAAGCGTCGGATGCGAAAGCTTCCCGATCATATCATGTGCCAACCGAGGAACCGAAAGCCATTAATGACGTTCGCCTTCGCGGTCCTTTATTCAATCAACAGAGACGCGAGTACACCGTTAAGGAGCAACGGCTGCCAATTCCGGCCGCCGTTCCAGAGGATGCGAGGGCGGAAGACAATTTACAATCATACAAGTGCCAAGCTTGCCCCGTATCTATGCGTACCGTAAACGAGTTACAGGTACACTGTTTTGCTGAACATAATATCGAAACGGATTCTAGTACAAATATTCACGCAGATAGGAGTGCCGGTAAATGTAGCAGGGATAAAGAGAATACTCAGAAAAGAATTACGGAGGAATCGGCGATTCAGGAAGAGCGTAGCAGACAAAGGACAGAGGATACATAGTGCCAAAACAATAGCATGCTAACAAATTTTTGAATGGTGTTTGCCATATTACTTAGGGAAATTATAATAACGTATCATGTAAGAAATGTGCATCACAAATATCCTACAGAAAAATCTCGGTATATCCTAAAGAAATATCTCGATAGGTAGGTATGTATGAATAGTATGATTAACGATGCTTTGTGCTTCTTGAGAGTTTAACGTATTGACACACGTTAAACTTTTGCAAAAATTTAGATGAATCGTCCATTATTTGCAATTAAAAATGTACGAATATGAATTTATAATTTTACCGTTGCCGTTACAAAGTGTTTCACAAAATTTCTAAAAATTTTACAAAATTTATCATAGTGTGAAAAACACGGATCTAATAATATCACATTAAATATTAATGCATATTAATGACATACATTAAGAAGCGCAGTCTCGATTATGTTTCTTCTACTACAGGTAGTCTACTATCAGTTCATTTATAACTACCTGTGCGTATTGCAAACAACTGTAAACGCGACATAATCGCTTGTATAGTCCTCCTCTAAGACTTTACACTCTTCCTCTCGAAAACAACATATATAACGCGTAAATAAAAGAAAAAAAAACGTAGCTCTTATCTGATAATGATTATAATATTTATACAATAGTGTTTCATAGCAAGCATGAGGTGCAATGGACTGGCATGTGATTCTGTATTTAAAGTGCAAATGTTGCTTTCAACATGTTGAAGAGTATTCTATTATAATATTACAAATGAATATTATACTTTAAATTGGTACATGAAGCTTATATATATATATATATATATATATACATATATGAACAATTATGGAGAATTATTGTTGACATAAGAGGAAATGTGTTTGTATATATTTATGTATAATATAATAAGAAAAATCACGTTAGTCTTTATAGTTTTAAGCGTATAAGTCTTATAGTTTTAAGAAATCAGAAGTCAAAAGCTGTGTCGGTTGCTCAGATTATTTATGAATTAAAGCGATTTTACTCATGCGATGAATTCTTTAGTTTCAACATTTTGAAAGATTTTTATGTAAAGAAATCAGATAGCACAAATATCTAGTTTGATTGTACCATATTATCATTATTGAATGTTTAGTTACTTCCGCATTCTATTTGATATTATTAGTTATTGTAAATCGTAATTGATCTTACTTATTGTTATATGGTCTGAAGGATCGATTCACTGATTCTGTTTAAGACATTTAAAAAGCCACTTACCTTCCTTGAGCGACAGCTACCGTATCTTATAATTAATTGTCTATCTAATGCTATATGCAGTTTTAATATCTCACTCAAGCACGAGAATATGTCTTTCCTATACTGCATAATCAGACTCCAGTTATCACAATTTGTACCTAGATGTGCTTGAGTTAAGATAATAGAGATACGGATATAGAACGACCGCACAATTGTATACAATGAGGTCCAGTCCGAGTGATTGTTACTAAACGATATCAAGTGTAGCATAGTCTAACGTAGCATTTTGGATGTGTATCTATTATCTATTAATAACTCTGTCGACTCCAACTGCGAAACTACATATGAGCTTCCAAGATATATATACACGTGTTGTAAGTACACGAAATGCCAAGCCAACAATTTACGTTCGAAAAAATTAGTGAAAGAAATGATACATTCTTCACATCGACGTTGACTTCCAATATGAACGACACGATTCTTATGTGATTCTTCCATATGAAATACGATATTTTCCGAAACTAAGATACTTGTAACACACATCTTTCTCGATTACTTGCATGTGTACTTATATGATTTCAGAATGTACTCTTTCCAAATTATAGATTTATATTACAATATATTTTCGAAACATTGTCGTGTCCGTAAAAGTGTCGCGTATTTTTCAATATATACACAGCAAGCATGTCATTTACATATCAAATCCATTGTTTTCTCGACATTAACCGAGACAATGGATAATTATGCGTTTCATCATTTGAAATTAAATGTCGCACAGTACAAGGTAGCTTTATATATACTTCGTAATGAAGACTTACCGTTCTGAGTGCGCCCACCTACGACGACATTCATTTACGAGCGTTCGCTTCACGGCGAGATCCTTGGATATGTGTACATAATTACGAATATCGAAACTTACGAACTTTATTCAGAAAACACTTTATTCACAAAAACCACGACCGCGACGCGCATACACTTTAAGAAACTTTATTCGGATTCAAAAAGTTACACTCATAAGAACTCCGAACGCGACGCGTATACACTCTGAACTTCGGCGCTAGTTTCTAACGTTAACTGTTTACAACTACGTAAAACTTGAAGCGTCTAATATTATTAAGCGTCTAATTTTTTAATTTAAGAACTCAAAAAAACATTTTAAAAAATATAAAAAATTTGAAATTTTATTTTATTATGAATAATTATTTCCGAAATTCAATACATATATGACTTCAAGATTAATTCGTTAGAATTTAATTTGACCGATATTGTCTAATCATCGAAAAGAAACTCGCGGCAATTTTAAAATGTGGTTATAAATATAAAAATACAAAAAAGGAACAATTTACAACTTAAATGTATAGTTACTCGAGTTACAGTGAATATATAAATATTTCTAAATTAGCAAAAATCATTATAAGATTATATATCGAACGCATATATTATTATAAATCGATCGTCTGATGCAAAAAATCAACAACAGAATAATTAAAAAATATATATTCGATAACAAATATGATTAATAATTAATTTAATAATTTATTAAATTATTAATTTAATAATTTATTAAACGATTATAATCATTTATTTGTTATATTTAAATATACTATTTTTTACTAATTTTTTTACTTGTAAGATTTCTTAGATTTTGCATTGAACGATCGATATTTTAATTATTATCTTCCTTATTATTTCAGAACAGATTTGGCTGTGTAATTCTTCATGAGCATGCAATTTTAATTATCTTTCTACACTTGTCTTTACATACATACACTGTTATTATTCTATACAACTTGATAAAAAAATTCATGTAAATGTTTTTTAAGATGATACTTCTATATTAGACCTCAGTTAAGAAACCTATATTGTGATAAGCACTGAAAGAATCATATTGTGAACTAATATCCTAAAGGCGAGTACAATGTGTATTTGTAGAACAGAGACATATATATATATATATATATATATATATATATATATTTATTATTGCAAATGTGTACATTTGCAATTTTCACAAAAAGTTGGCTTGGCTTCTTCCAGACACAGTATTAGACGATTTTGAAAACAATGCGGAAAAGGTCAAATTTGTAGATGGTTCTACATCGGTTTACATTTTAGAAATAGAGTGGCTTTTCGTCATCTGATTTCATAGGGTATCTCTAAAAATATGCCCTGTTTAACCCCGTTCTGCCCCCACCCTATATTTTTATGGATGATTTAAGTTTTATATGCACGTGGTATGTGAACGGTGACACTTACAAATACCTGGCAATATAGTATTTTATATGTATTATAGATGATATATGTAGATCTTTAAGATTTTATAAACGTTTTTTCATGAGAGAGACGTGAAAAGGAAATATTTCATCTTTATGCTCGCGCAAATACATCATGTGCTTTTGTGAGCTCTGGCTACTTTAACACAAACCGCCTCTCTGGTTTCAGTAACTTTATCGTGAAACCTTTTAATTAAAACTAACTGCATCGGGCTCTTTTGCCCATCGATATCAGACAATGGGACCGGAGTAAAAATTTTATAAGTATATACTTGAGAACGGGTTTTACGGTGTTGTAATAATGCCATTGTGTTTTGCCAGTGTCACCGTCATTTCTCTTCCTGATTCTGTGAACTCCGTTAAACTATTGATAAATATAATTTTTATTTATTGTAAATAAAAAGAAGAAACATATTGCTTAAAACATTTTATATATTGTGCATTCTGAATTGATACATAAACACAAGTTCTTTCAAGTAACAAATTATTTATCTGTTGGCCCAGAGATTGTAACGTAAATTGTACGAAGGAAAATTCATGTAATATGAATACGACTTTGTATAGTGATTTTGCAAGAACGAAAGTACAACTCTAGGAACAGAGTCAATGTGGGACAGGAATAAAAAGTTAATTTCCGATAAAACTGTGTATTGTTTCATTAAAAATTAGACAAGACCTTTATATGCAAACTAAGAAATATTCTAAGAATCTTAGATGTTAAAGCTGCATCACATTTTCATCATCTATTGTATTGCTTATGTTTAACGAGCATCAAATACAACAACTGAAAGTAGGATTAAGGAAAATTCCTGAATATTTAGATTTCAATTAACGATTACATTAAAATATTCAATATATTAAATTGAAAATGTTAAAAGGATACGTCTTTTGGTACGCTTCTTGTACATTATTCTGTATCCACATTCTCTGCACCGAATAGGATCTCTGGGACGAATTTCATTATCATGATGACATTCTAAAACAAATTTTTTATTAAGATATATATATATATATAAATATTAACAAATATATAGCAAATATATATATTTCCTTTATGGATATATTTCCTTAATGGAATATTTATTCTGCTGTTAAATATATACAGTATTTTAAAAATTTCCAATGCTTTTTAGGAAACGTTCAACATAATTCAACATAATTTTATTATTTTAACAAAACATTTAATTTATAAAATTTAATTATAAAATATATATACAAAAAAATATATAAATACAATTAATTAAATAAAACATTGGCCAACACAAATATCAAATGCTATTATTTATATGAAAAAGTGAGGTTAGAAAATCAATGAATACACATGTTAGTGGTAACTTTACCTCCGCAAATGTACACCATAGCCTGTTTCGGTGTAGATTCGGACTTGCTAGATTCCATCTTCACACTGTCGCAATACAGTTAATAATATATTTACGATAATAAAATTCTGATTTATAAAATAGAAAAAATCAGCCGTCTGTTTGCATACACCATATGCTGCATGCAGCTCGAACACAAAATCTTATTTTAGTACAGAAGATGTCAATAGATGGCATTAATCTGATGTATAAAATAATAGAACGTTATGTACCGACGTAAGATACTAAACGTAAGATTACTATACTATTAATAGAGGGCAGCATGAACCCGCTCCCAACTTCATTTGTATTTTTTATATCTTGCATGATAATATAGTTATGATATTTTTAGTGCCGCCGATACGCATAATAGAAAATAATTACAAACCAAAAATTGTTTCACAATAATAATAAAAATACAAGTAATTAATATCATTAATCATTCATCATGCATTGAACAAAAAATATAATAATCAAGTAGCATAATTCAAGTGCGGAAAATGTGTCACTCGAGAGCACAAACGAGAAAATCTTCCCAGCAACAGGGAAGCTCTCGCGCGCATTTCCAGCATCCGGTGTGTCTGGCCAATAGCACCACTTGGCAACGACGGGATAAAGCGCGATTGGTCGCACGCTTAGTTGGCACACTTGGAGGGATACATAGTGGGACTGGAGTGGTATTCGTCGATGGTATTGCGCGCGAAGAGGGAGAGTCGGCAGCGGGTGCGTAAGCTTCCCCAGGTTGCTCACCCCCGACTGTTCAGTGACAATTAGCAAAGAATACGCAACGCGATCGAGAGTTGAGCGAGTGCTCGCGTGAACCGAATTGCGCGATATATTGTTCGAATTTGCAGATTGACGCACGCGCGAAAGTCAATTGCGGTGAAAGGGCTGAGTTCTTATTTACGAGGCGCGCGCAGGGGTGCTTTTCTCCATGGATTTGCGACTGCCGCCGTTGAAGAGCGGCAGATGGGGCGAAAAGCAGAGGAGAGGGAGAAACGCAACAGACGCGAAGCGCGCGTTTCCCGCGCGGCGCACACGTGAGTACAGCGCGAAGGCAACATAAACGTTGCGTGTTAACGCACGAAACGGGGGAAACGTCAGGTGCCGCACGATGTTGTGCATCTTCGCTGAATTTCACGCCGAGTGAAACGCGTTAGTGTTGCGGAGTGACATTCGTACGGTCAACGCGAAGAAAGATTTCGCTTCGACGTTTTGAAAACGCGCTCGGTTTTTTTTTTTTTCGCACGATGTAAACACGTTTCACGAGTGACGCGAGTGAGAAGAATCTCGGGAGAGAAAATAGGCTGTTTTGTGTGCGCATATAACCTATTGTCCGTCGAATTCAGTAGTTTATCGCGTCAAGTGTATCGTTTTCGTAAATAACGGTCGTGTGCCGAGGTTTAATAAAGATAATCTACACATCGAGATATTGGAAACTTCGTAATTTCGTGTTTACATATTCGTGTTGACCGACGGAACAGAAAGCTGTAAGTGATTTTCGCCATATCTTATCTCCAATGTCAAAACATGGCCTAAGTGAACAGAGTGAAATGAACGTTAAAATAACAAATACGTATAATCGCTATCTTTATTTTTCGGTACCTGTTTGTAGAGTAAAGTGACTGCATGTGATGTTTCATTAATTTGGAAAACAATAAACCTTTTAATTTCGCTAAGACAATGCGCATATTGAATACCGTTTAATATGTTGCTGTCGCTGCATCGAGTGCTATCGAGCGGAAGGTGAAATAGTCATACCGGAAATCGAACGTCGAGTCTTAATTTCGAGGCAGTTAGACAAACGTCCCGAACGCCATGGACGAAATCGAGAGCATGCATGTCGACCAGACGCCGCTTGTCTACGTCAACTCTAGTGGATGCAGATCCCACGACAGTATCGACAGCGGCTATCTGTCTTCTTTCACGCCACAAAACAGCAGCAACAATTTGATAGTGACCGGATGTAGAACGCGATTGTCCACCGGCGCGCTGAGTAAGAAGCATTATAGGTTCCGTCCGGATCCTATTCAATGCGAGAAAGTGCAGAGACGCCGTTCCAAGCACAATTATTTGCCAAACGCCTCGGAGTCCTCCGATTACCTTGTTTCCGAAAATTCCATCGAACAAGATTCTGTGCTGGATCCGTCGTATACGAGCGATAATCAACGTCTCATAGTGCACTCCACTCCGAGTTGCATCATCCACAATGAATTTGACGAAATTCACGGAAATAAGAGAAGCTGGCAAACCACGGTGCCTATTACTCCTGCGTCGACGGACCTGCGATTTCTGTCGCCACCTCCGTCGCCAACAGTGCCGACCTCATCTTACGTAGCCTCTGAACCCATCCAAGAAGATGTGGAAATGAAGCTAGTCGAACCTACGTTGGAGAGTAAATCACAAATCACAACACCGCCGAGACTGAAAGTCTCAGTACCACGGATTATAATCTCGCCGGTTCGCAGGAGAAACAGCCCCGCCATAACGTCGGTCGAGAATCGGAAGCTGAGTGAGCTATGTATTACAGATTTGGCTGCCGATATTAAACCGAAAAAGTTGAATTTCGATCGCAGCTCGTTTATAGCACTATGGAACAACAACAGAGTTGCTTTGAGCTATATTGCGAAGGAAAAGGTGGACTTTTTATCACTTCTTGGAGAAGAAAGCAATCACCTGAATGTAGTGTCGAAAATTCTCTCCTATCTCAGTCCTCGAGATCTGTGTTCCATCAGTATGGTGTCCACAACATGGAAGAAGATCTGCGAGAGGGATTTTTGCGCCAACAGGAGAAGAATGAATTACATCCTGTGCAAGCAGAACATCAAGGAAAATTTGAAGATTGTGACGAAAAAGGCGAAGCGTGAGGAGGATATACAGATGAGTCCTAAGAGCAGATACCATTTCAGAAAAGGATGCCTGATGGATGTGCAGAATGTACTGCGTGTTCCGGAACAGCAGCGACCACCGAACAGTCCACCTGTATCGCCGAGCAAAGTCAAATTCCACTGCTTCATCAAAGTAAGTCGATTGATTTAATTAAACTTTTAGACTTTCTATCGCTTTTACTAAAATATTTGGTTGTGGACAAGTATATTTCATATATTATTTTATAATTAATTAATTTTGGTTCTACATTGCAAGAAATATTGCTACGATATCGTGCTTAAATATTGCACGGACTATAGTTGGCTTTTCTATATTTTATATCTCCATAGAACTTTTTTTTTTATTTTAAAAAGTAGCAAGCTCGTGTTTATATGTTTTCGAAAATTTATTTATTTACTCACATTAAAAATTGCAATGCAATTTAAAAAGAATTTTTTCCTCGAACTTTTATAATAAAATCTACTTGTGAGAAAAGTCACGGCGAAGTCAAAGACTGTCGTAAAATATGTGCCTAGGTTTCAAAGAATCACGGGCGTTACACTTCTCAGGGCTCTCGTATTCGACACCCGCGGGAGCTAGTAATGTATGTTGCATTCCGCCGAGAATCGTATTCGCGTTTATCACATAACAGCCAGATAATTCGCGCTAGTAAAGACGAGACGCACTCGTCTTTTTAATACGATACGTGCTTTTCACTTTAATTGAATAATAATTATTATATATATAATAATTATTAAAATAGTCTACGTATACGTAATAAATATATAAATAGAAGTACATCGCAGGATCATCGATAGCATATCATTAGCATTTTTAAATATATAATTACTGAATTTTGATTACTGATTTGCATGTGATTATCTCTTGACTTATTAAGAGGATTGCATTTTTGTACTTTTTATTTTGCTACGATATGCGTAAGTAATCAATCAATAATTGATCTCTCTATACGGTTGATTGTTCCATACAAACTACAACTATACTTATAACTATATGGAGTGAGACAATATATTATATGACGATCTAAATGTTACATCAAGCTGAACTTGTCAATTAAAAATGCTGGTTCCTCGTCGTTTTAGCGCTCATAATTCTCGTGAGAGCAGAAACACGACGGCTAATTATTAGTCCGCAATAATCGATAGCTCGGTAGTCCGAAGATTTTTTAGGCCAAATTAGCATCAGCGTACTTCACGCGCACGAAATGGAATCGCGGTCGGTAATTGTTTCGATTGTGAGATCATTACTTTGACATTGATTTATCGTCATTTCGGCTTTGAGCCGCCGTGAGGGATAATTGCTTTCGTGGATCGTTAAAGGCTGAAGATAAGCGAGATTCGTCGACGTGTGCAAAATTTGACAGATGTTCGTTTCACAATGATGAGATTCTGCGTGCTTATATTTTCATCGTGCACGGTGATTGAAATTCATCTTGTGATATTCGGTGATGATTATATCTTGGTGCAGTTAAGAATTGCATTTAGTATAACAAAAGAACTTTTGTGTATAATGATTTGAAAAATTAAACAATCCAACGAAATGTCAAATTTTTTAATTTAATGCAAAAAAAGTAAAATTAAAAAATTCCTTTTCTAGGTAATGTAAACTTTATATTGCGATATTACTTTATTAGATTATTCTAATACTAATGAAGAAACTTGAAATTCACACATAAAATTTCTACATTTCTTAAATATTCCGAATCTAAGTATCCTCTCGTGAAACAAATGAACGACTCATAATTCATAAAGAATTATGACAAGCTATTTGCAGGATATTCAAACGTTTATTTGTGAATATCCTGTGATATGTTGTGTCATTTCCGCGTAAATGTTCTCATTTCGTTCCCGTGCGCGATTCCGCTAAATGTCCATAAACTTGAACGCGCGCACGCTTGCTTCAAGTCAAAGCAGCGAAGCAAATACGATGATTTACTCGCGGAAATCAGTCAGACGGCGGCGTGAAGAATCGTTGACAGTGATGTACGTGCTTTCTCAGTCTCATCGTCGCCGGGGCTACCTGCCACCCGCCGTTCCACGCCATTCTCTCTCTCTCCTCTGTCTCACCTAGCGGGCGACGCATTCCTTCTCGCATTAGATTGTGATAGCGGATGCAAGTGGCATGGCTGGGAATCCTTTGTTGCGTGCATGAAACAATAGCGAGGCCTGCGTTTGCACTCGTGTCAAAATCAGTGCCGACCACACGTCTGCATCACTATCCTTTATCGTTGCGGAATGCTTGACAATATAAAACGAGTATTGTCGACGCTGCACGCCTATTGCATTTCAGTTAGAAGATGAGTTACAAAAGTTTATTACCGACAAGTATTAAAATCTTCTCGAAAGATTATATTTAATTGTTTTCACCGTAAAACTCACGACTATAAGCTTTCAAGATTTCATATCGTCAATTTATAACTACCGTTCAAAAGTAAGTAGTATAGGGATGCACATTATCTATTTACACCTGACTCGCGAATAAAAAAAAATTGCAATTTTTCCTCTCATTTAATATCAGGTTATCGACGGTTAAAATTACAAATCTTTTTTTATTTAATTTTATAGGCTCGTGTATAATAAACAATGCTTCGTTAAAAATATGACTGGAGAAAATGATGATTGAGTGCATTTTTAAGAGATCCGAGATTACTCCGGAAGGCGACGTAAAAAATTGCGATGCGAAATGCGTTTGGTCTGTAAATTTGGATCGCGACGTGTTGCAAAGAAAAATCGACATTAAGCTTCGCGAACGGGTATGCCCAACGTTGTTTTAGTACTCTCTACTAAAATTGAGCCTGGCGGGTGATATATCAGGGCGAGGGCCAGTGCGCATCTTTCTTCGTGCGCATTCACGAGGAGAGCTGCGCCAGCGTTCGTTTCTTCTATGGATCGCGAATCGCCGTCCAGCCTGCGGCGAAAACCGGCCAACGAAAAACAATGCGAATATATTATGGTATCTGGCACTAAAACAAAGGGTCGACAAAGCCCTTAAGTCTTTTACGACATTCGTACCAGGCAAAGCCAAATCGCGTGTAATGCGTGTAAAAAAAAGTATCGTGTCGTAAAGCTTAAAAGATTATCCGTATTACGGATATGCAAAGCATTAATATTTATCTTGCTCGAATGGCGTAGAAAGAATTAAATTTCCAATTTTAATACAATTTTATATCAATATTCTATTTTATATGCTAATATTTTATTTTATTTAAATTTTTCGTGGAAATATATATTGTATCGCATTATTAGTGATCGATTTTTGGTTCCCACAGATATGCCAGTGAGGAAATTCGATCTTATTTCGTTGTCCCCGTGCATTTCTCTGATTACTTCAATGCCCTTAACCTCAGACGACCTTGCGGGATGCCGTAGAAAGTTCCGTTCTCGGTGAAACATGATACAACCGTTCATGAAACTAACGTGCGAGCATTCCTCTCTCGATTGTTTCTGTCAGTGACGCATTTACTGCACAATTGCGTGACTAAAACTGTGACAAAGTCAGTAATTGTTTATTCAATCTTGCTGTAACATCATGAAAACATCAATCTTTTGAAGCCTAAATATTTTCTTTTAACTTGCATTCAATTCATATTATATCAATTTTTCTTTTTATTTTAAAAAGAAAAAAACATATCGTTTTCATCTTTGTTAAAAAATGTTCTAAGCCGATATATTAAAATTTTAAGTGTTTTTTACAATATACAATCAAAGCGTTATGAAATTACGTTTTATCGCACTCTGCATCCTGTATTCGTTGTCAAAAAAAAATCGCGCTTTCGGCTAATAACATCCGCCTTTCTATCGCGATTTGGGGAAATTAACGACAAACCGGATGACGATAGTTCCGCAAGGAGGAAAGAGTGGTTTTTGACGAAAGGAAGGAAGGAATTGTTCCTTAATTAACTACGACTGCGAAGGGCCTGTTGAGTGGCCGTCTAACGTTCTTGACCACGTTGGGTGCGGGTGTTTCCTGTGAAAAGGAACACTTGCACAGCCCCTTTTTCCGGTGGGCACCTTGATAATTTTATAAGGGACACACTAGAATTCAGTCGAGCGAGTCTTCCGTTTTGGAAGAAGAAAAACGGACACAAAAATGAGTTACTGTTTTTTCAACTGTCGTGTAATTCCGATTACAACATCGGCGCAAAAGAAGTAGGCGATTTGTACAGTTTTTCAGGATAGATTTTTTCAAAATTTTTTCAGATCCTACGTTAAAATATTATAAAAGCCGAAAAACATGATTTATGTATTTTTATATAGTTAAAAATAATTTAAAAATTTTTCTAAGAACGAGGAAAATTTAACAAAGGAGGAAGTGTAAAATATTATAAAATCTAGCAAATTATTTGAATATTTTTTGCAAATAATCAAAAATTTTATCATTGATATTCTAAGAAATCTTTTCATGGTTAATTTTTTTTCTAAAGTAATACGTATGAATGCCGAATTGCTCAAATTCGTACCACAATATACATATACATAGAATTATATGTGAGCAGAAAGAGCAAATCAGGAAGAACTTCCCGCCCGCACATTCATTATGATTTTGCATTTTATTTTCTCGTGCAACGGTTCCGCAGTGCTATCGTCATGTGTTCATATTGACCCACTGCTACGCAGCACCTGGCCAGGTGCAGCGACCGTCTCCGGTCTCTCTTGTATGCTTCGCGAAGCGTAAAGCAGTCCAACAACGGACAGCAGGGACACCGTTTTAGACACAGAGTAAAATAGTATGCGCGAGTAAGCCAGGCGTGCCATCGCCGCGTGAAATATGCGTGTCGCACGATAATTCCTAGGATATTTGCCTTGGTAATTTCGAGTAATTTTGAGCTTCAATAGCTACGCGCGATTTTACAAACGGGAACGAGATACTTTGTTATAGAAAATTTATTGATTCGAATCAAACTCGAATTCTATCTCAACTTAGCCAAAATTGATCGCTAATTTTAGTACAAATTAGTTTTTGAATTAATATAAAAAAGAAGAGAAATTGTATGTATATTCCTTTTTCAATTACGTTGATTGATAAAAAATTTGAATTTTGTGCAAGATATTGAACATTCTTTGCGAAATATTATCTTGTTCCTGGAATCCAAGGATGCATTGGATTTCACCATGCATCTTTGTATTCGATAC